CTGGATCTTGTAAATCGAATTTGCATGGTATAGGACACTTTGAGTTGATATAAGAATAAAACTTGTGCACTGTCGTAGAGTATAATTCCATTATGGGTAAATTTTTGTTTTGATAAAGTCTCACAGTGTTATACAGTAATGTTTACTGATGACGTTTCGAGCACAATTTATTGCCACTCATAATCATATCAAGGTACTACTCACACGACTTCCTAACTTCATTTATATAGGTAGGACCCAGTTGACCCAATTAGACAAAAAAATAATATAATTTACAAAATATCCTGCAATGACTGTGAGGTCAACCACATAGGTCAAACTAGTAGGTCAGGCGTAGTCAGATTGTCGGAATATAAGAATTTAGCTAATGGAAGAATTTTTGAAAAGATGAGTAATTTAGAAAAAAGCTCAGCTATTGCACTTCACACATTAACAAACAACAACACAATAGGGTGGGAGAGGGTTAAAATTCTAAAAAGTAATCTAGATAGGTGGAGAGAGAGGTTGATTACTGAATCCTTGTTCATCGAGTCTATACCAAACACTTGCAATAGGAATGAGTCATCACTCATACCCGAAATATGGAAAATACTACTGCCAATCAAATCAAGTGAAAAATAATGGAAGTATATAAATGAAGTTAGGAAGTTGTGTGAGTAGTACCTTGATATGATTATGAGTGGCAATAAATTGTGCTCGAAACGTCATCAGTAAACATTACTGTATAACACTGTGAGACTTTATCAAAACAGAAATTTACGCATAATGGAATTACACTTTGAGTTGGTCAGCATATAGGACTTCACAAAATAACGTTGAATACCATCCAATAGGGTTTTACAAGACTTCATTAGATGTTCATTAGGCTCACAGTGAAATTTCTGACTTCAACAATAAAGGACATCATTTAGAATCGATGATTCTGAATCTCCGAATATGTTAATTTCCTAATCAAACCAATTCCAGTAATCATGAAACCTAAGTTTAAGGCATTCTGTCTTTTATTTAAAAAAAACCCACTTAGAATCTGTTCTGAATGTAAAATCTATGAAATTAGTTGATTTAGTGAAAGCTAAGACATGAAATAAATTTTGAATTTCACCGTCTTAAGTTTGATCATAGTTGAGTAAAAAAAATTACTAACGATTACCCACGTTTAGTTTCTCTACACAGTAATTCAGTTTTCATTGTTTCATTTTGCATAGTACAATCTTAATGTTTTCTAGTTATCTCAAATATAACTATTAGTGCATACATTGACTATCTTCGCTTCAATAAACGGTGGACAGTAGAGGTATCAGAGTTATTTGTCTATGCACCTTTATAATCTTCTAAGGCATAAATAACCCATCATGGGTTTAATAAATTAATTGAAGTTATCCAAATAATGAAACACTGGTAACTTTCAATAAAAACAAAACAATTTTTATATTTTATCCAGTTTAAGATGAATATCAATGAAGTAGGGATTGTGAGTTTCGTCCTTTCGAAGACTCGTCAATAGGATGCACATGCCTTTTTGAATAAATGATGATGATGATGATGAATTCCATGCTAGCTATTGTCAGCCGAATAAGGTCTAGCTAACTTCAAGGTGTCATCGAAATCTTCATATCAGTAGCTGGTCGGTATACCAACAGAGACTGAAAATTTCAACCTAGTAAAAAACCATTGGGAATTCCAGAAATAGTCTTCACACAGGCAATACATTTTTTTATATTATAATTCTAACAAAAATGTTTTGTTAAATGTTTCTGTATGAATGGCTCCCATGATATTTTTTAGGCCAAACTACATTTGAAGTATTTTAATGTGTATGATTTATATAATGTCCAATAAAAAGTAATTTTGAAATATTTAAATAATTTTTTTTTCAGTTTATGTGTTTATTTTATTTTATTGCGCTAAGTTTTTATTGTCATCATTTTATAAGTATAACGGTCTTTCTTTAATACGGTAGTGCAGTCCATTTGGCGCTTTTCATAGTAGTTTTTACTAGTAATAAAACAGCATACAAAAACTGTTTGTAAAAGTCATCTCTACGATTTTATCGTCACATGCGTCGTTGTCACAGTGGTCAGGACTCTCGCTGATCATGCACATGATCCTAGGTTCGATCCCCTGTCGACGCACACCTGATATCTATGGTCAGCCTGCAAACTTTGGGCTACCGATATCATCACATGCTGAAAATTCCATACTTGTAACAAAAATACAGTGTGGAATCAAGCTGTGATCAAAAATAAAAATAAAATATATTTCAGTTATCTGATAACAAATGTAAAAGCTATAGGACTTCGGATTTTAAGATCATTTTAATTAAGCCATGAGATTAACCATTAAGAATAGATATCCACCAATCAAGCTGGTGAATGATCCTATCATGTCATCACTAGATAGATGTCAATGGATTTTAGTGCGTTAATCACGATAAGTGGTTACCACGAAAACGGAAAACTCAGTATTCGAATTTATTCAAAAAATTGAGTACTGGATTTTCAAGCAGTAAGTCTAAGTTTCTTCAATGCTACCGCTTTCACTCTGCTATAGACAATCGATTAGTATTATAAGATCTCATAAGTCAAGTCTAATCTATAGCTACATTGAGCAACTTCAATCTAACTAATTAAGTGAAAAATATGTAACCTGGGAAACTGAATTAATTTCAAGTCAAAAATCATTACAAACAAGAGTTATATAGAAAACTGAAGAGTGTTTAGCTGATGTTTTGTCACAGTTGAGGATTCTGTAACATTGCGTACCCACAACTCAAATATGTGTGGTTAGGAGGTAAACATCTTAGTTCCATTCATAAGAAATTGGACATAATGGCATTTTAATTTCAAAACTGATCGGTTTACTATGGTTTGCTGTTATCATTCAGTGTACCCGATTAGTCTGTGTTCTAGCGTGGAAAAATACCTTCGTTGATGTTCATTTCTTAGTCACTGATAGGTTAGAAAAACTAACTGGTAAAATTTTCCTTCCTGACGAAATCTACTTTGAAAGTACATTCTGCCTGTTGAGCGCATACATTTTAGAAAATGTCAGTAAAGCAATGACAAGCAGCTTCTGACAATAATTTTTATTTATTTACATTTCCGTAATCACCTTGAGTATTTAAGGATAAAATTAAAGATAAACATTTTGTGGCCTATTTGTAAACAAAAGAGAAGCTCGCAATAATAAAACTGATATAAAACAGTAGAAATTTGGAAGTACGATGCTAGAATTTGTGGTAATAATTTCAGAATTGAGCCAGGGTGGGGGTGGGGTGATTATCAGGCAATTGGGTTATCAAGAAGATAGGATGAACATAAAATAGAAAGTAAAGAAAGTAGTTTTAAAGTCGTTGGCTAGTCAGTGAATCATCTGAAATTCAAGGATTGGTATATTGCATTTCTCCCCTGCTAGGTTGAATGGAATTATACTCTAATAGCTATTGAACAAGTTAAGCATTCTCTTTAATGTCATGATTATGTCCTGAGTAAAATATAAATTAGGACTGACTGTGACCTGTTAAGATCATTCAGACCTCAGAAGTGGGAATGCTTTGAAATCCCACATTATACGAGATGTAATGTTTGGAATATGGCCATTTTTACTATATTTTAAAAATAAAAACTATTGGCCACCCTCCTCAGTGTCTTTATTATCAATTTGCATTGGTAAATGAAGTTTCACGTGGCATGAGACATGTAATTATCTTGATTAGTTTATATTATTAAGTATTTTGTACAATAATATCATCATTAAAGAAAAAGAAATATTTGAATGTAACTTTAAATCATTGATCGAGTTTAGCTAACGTCTAATCACTTCTTAATGGTCTTGAGATAAGAGCGGATTTCTTTCGACGGCATATAACACTCCTCCACTTTTAAGTGAACTCTTCAGAATAACCATCTCTTTTTTATTTTTCATTGTTGAACGTTTTTCTGGTTTTTAAAAGTTTTTACCTATGTGATACGTAGCCATAATTATGAGGTTTGTTTTAATTTAGTAATCATTATTATTTATCATCTCTATCTCAACTCCATCGACTTTGAAAAGGCCTTCGACAGCGTCGATGGAGAGGTCATTTGGCAACTACTTCGCTACTACGGAGTCCCATTGACAATTATACATCTCATCCAACAGTTATACGACAATGCTGCATGCCAAGTAATCCACAACGGGAAACTTACGGAAACCTTCGAAGTGAGGACGGGAGTGAGGCAAGGCTGTCTATTATCGCCAATGATTTTCCTGATCGCAGTAGACTGGATAATGCGACAGACAGCGGCGGGCAATGAGGAAACAGGCATAAAATGGACTCACACAAAAAACTTGGAGGATCTGGACTTCGTTGATGATGACATATGTCTGATTTCTCACAAACTGGAAGATCTGCAAGTGAAAAGCAACAAGCTAGCAGAAGAAGCATCAAAGATAGGACTTCAAGTGAACATAGATAAAACATAGGTGATGAAGATTCCTGGCCGGAAGCAACAGCAAAAACAACAGACAACAATCAGCCAGCATAAATGGGAGGAACCTGAAAGAAACAAGAAACGAGTTGGTCGTCAGTGTGAGGGTGACTTGGAGGAGGTCATGTGAAGAGGAGATGAAAGCATGTGGGCAGACTTGGAGCGGGGTGAAAAAGTTGACAGAAAACCGAAGGCAATGGAGACTTGGGCGGCTGAAGCCCTATGTTCCTCTAGGAATTAAAGGATATAATAATAATAATAATAAAATTTTTCTATAGTAGTGCTGAGCAGTTTAGAACTGTTAAAACAACTGCGTACGGTATTCAGGTATGAATTACTGAAAAGCCTCTGACTATTACGGCACGACAGGGAGCAAGATGCCATTTGATTCCTGATGGTTCTTCTGAATTTGACATCATTTGAAAACAAAGTTATGTCTGAAACTCTTTGTTGATATTTATGATTTCTAGTATTAGAATATTTCATGTATTATGTCATATATCCCATTTGTTTATTTTTTTTTGGTTATAGGAACTGGTTAATATGTTACAATCTGAAGATGAATCATACTTTTATTTTTCTCCCGGTGGAGGTGATCTCACCAATTGGACACAGCGTAAAACTCATCCATCTTATTGGAATGGTGTACAAGTAGATGTTGATGGTACAAATGCGAACAACAATGTTGTCGTACAACCACCTGACTCACCAACACTATTTAAACCAACCTGGCGTCAACCTGTTTGGAGACGTGCTGATCAAAGATTCTTTTGGAATTTTCATTTATTATCTCAACCAATTGCAGAAGCGGATCGAATGTTGACCAGTTGTGGTTTCCCAGTCTATGGTGCTAATTTCAAATCTTCTGAATCATTTACACAGTTCAATAGTTTAATAACAGATTTAGAAGGTTTATTAATACCTATTGTTCAAGGTTATGTACATATTGAAGAGTTTGTTTTAAACAGACTTCAAGGCCATCTTGCCGTGAATATTGTGCAGAAGTCGAAAAATTCAGTTGAAAAGTCGAATAATGAACTACCATCAATGACTGTAACATTTTTTAATAACTCTGTAAATATGAATGATGGAGAAGGTCAAATAAATATAAGCGGATTAAGTGAAAAATTCACTAATGCTTCTGATGCAGGAGAAAATAAAGAGGGACAATTTAAACCAATTATTTATCCAAATATTGATGCTAATGTTAGACAACTTAAAGAATTCGACCCATCCATCTTCGCATCGTCAACAACAACAACACTGGTGAATGCGAACAAGCATATATCATTTAAGGAGACATCTGAGACGAATGATGTTGCAAATATTTCACATGAAAAAGAGAATACACGTAATTCTTGTACAATATATGACTCTGTAGCAGAAGATACTTCAGATTCACTTAAAACAAATACCAATAATATGACAAGCTCAGTTGTTACTGTACTATCAGTAGATAATTCAAACGATAATAATAATATTAAAAACAATAACATCAATAATAACTTCAGTCAAAAAGAAGGTAAACCTATGATGATAGGCGATGTTGAACATGTAAAAGTTATCCTCTTCTCACGTCGAAGCTGCCGTCGAGCTGGTGAGTTTCTGTTATGTCTCTCTCTCCCTCTCACACCATAGTTTTCATTTATGTTATACATCTACATGTGTATGAGAAAAGTAATCAGTAGAATTTTTCATACACATATATTTTCACGAGGTGATCATGGATTGATATCAGTTAGAGAACCATTGAAAACCAGGGAGTACTGGACAGCTAGTGAGTTACTACAGGATGGTGTTTCCTGGAGTTCTAGTGAGAAGTCGTGACCAGTGAGGTCCGATTAGATGCCACGTGTGTGGATGGATGTCCCACCAACGACAATGGTTGGGGTGGCGCTAAATCACGAATTGGTAGAAGTTAGAATTGACGAGCCATTGAATCGGGTCCCATTGGCCGAATGGTATACGAGCTCGCTGGCCTTGTAACCGGAAGGTCCCGGATTAGAATCCCAGTGGGTGCATACCGGCGATGATTCCCAAACTAGGATGAAATAGCAGATGTCCAGTACTCCCTGTTCGTTTTCAATGGTTCTCTAACTGATATCAATCCTTCGATCAAATCGTAAAAACAAAACTAATACTTACAAATCAAACCATAGAAAACATATATTTTGAAGCATTAAAGTAGTATCTAATCTACAAAAGGTAAGTAATTTAACGCAAAGGTCATGTTCATAGTTGGGAAACAAAACCTTTGACTCAATTGTTTCGTTGTTTCACCAAGCGATATAACACAATATGAAATGGAAGTTCCTGTGTGCACAGAAACAGTTACAGCAAATAGCAGTCATTCATAATTTCATAGATTGTATTTTTACGAAAAGTAAGATTCCATATTAGCTAGTTAGTTGGTAAATCCTGGATCCTTGTGTGGACTATTATCATCTAGTGTGATAAATTGCATTGTATCACAATCTTTTACCACACACTCAATCAGCAGGTTTTATGTTAGTTGTATGCGCATATAAGTTACATCGAATGCTATACGGTAATGGACCTCTCAGAACTCGTCGTAATTGTAAATTATGATTCCTTTTTTTCTCAAATGATTAGATCTGTAGTGTGGTGTAATTATGATAATAACAATAATAATACTCAAGAATTAGTTTTTAGGGATTTTGTTTGTTTCAGGTCAAACCGTGGATTGATATTAGTTAGAGAACCATTAAAAACCAGGGAGTACTGGACAGCTGTTTCATCCTAGTTTGTGAGTCATCGCCAGTACGCACCCACTAAGTTGCGAACTCTAGAACCTTCTTGTTACAAGGCAAACTCATATACCACTCATCCAATGGGACCAGATTCAATGACCCATGCTGCTTGCTAGTGACTAGCTACAGGACGAAGTTGCCTGGGGTTCTGATGAGAAATCTGGAGTAAGAATGGAGTCCCCATCGATAAAATTGGATAGTGGTCACGCTAAAATCACGAATTGGTACAAGTTAGAGGTCATTGCCTGGTCTTTGAGTTGAGCACTAATGGCTGAATGGTACATAAGCTTATCTTGTAAACAGAAGGTCCCAGGTTCGAAACCCAGTGAATGCCTACTGCCAGTGATTCCCCAACCGAGAGGACGAAACAGCTGTCCATTACGCCCTGGTGTTCAACGGTTCTCCAATTGATGTCAACCCGTTGTCTAACTTGAAATAATAAAACTGCTGATTTAAATTTCCATTCAGTCATGTTGAATGGCCTTTTTTCAGGTGTAAATTAACTGACGCTCATTTTTCATCTTCTCCATTCTTCTCCTTCTCCTTTTTTTCTACCCATAGAGTTTCATCTATGCCTTAATTGTGTTTCCAATGAATTTTATAATGCCTGGGAATAAAAAACCGTTTAATAGCTCATTTTTTTAAAATATGATCTTAAACTGTTAATAGAGTATTTAACAATCTCTTCACTATTTAATGTGTTGAATGGGTTAACAAACAATTTCCCATGGGGGTGTTGTATCAAGCTTTAAATTCTGTAAATATATTTATTCTTTGGATTTGTTCAATCAGTCAGTATTCATGTACACTCCAATTTTTGATTATCCTATCTCAGAATAAAACAGCTGGCAAATGTGTCTGTTTGTAAGTGTGATGTAAGTTTTATAATTAAACAGGTAATCTACGTAATTTCATTCCCCTTGTAATTGGCATCAGGATGGCCACATTAGAACGTGCCATATATATATATATATATATATATATATACATATATTTTACAGTTTGGTTTATAAGCGTTAGTTATGATTTACGAGTTGATCACGGATTGATATCAGTTAGATAACCATTGAAATCCAACATAAAAAAATCAATCAGATAGCCATCCATCATTATTAAAAGAAGTTAGACATTCAGGAGGCATCTCGATAAGGGCTCCTTTGAGTAATTAGCGTGTATACCATACCTTATCCTTTAACATCAGTATACATTCGCATATTTATAACATATTCTCTTTTGGTTAGTGGGACGTTTAGAAATAGTGAAACTCTAAATTCTATGAGAGAATGATTTTATTGAAGCAATTAACATTACCAGTTCACTTGTTCACAATCAAAAGAATCACGAAGTAAATGAAAAGATACCTGTCTTTGAAAAAAAAACTCGTTCGTTTAACTCTAATACTACCCATAATGTATCTCTTCCTTTTCATACTTACGATTCTATTTCTCGCTGTTCAACAACTGCACTCATTTCTTTTTCAATTGTGTTGCATTATCTAATGTAGTTAACTAAATTGGTTTTTGATTTTCAAAAAAAATAGATTCCTTTGTTAGTATTTAAGTCAAATTGCGTAGTTAGTTTTGATGTTCTTGCGTTTAAAGCAAGTTTTGTAGACAGGGATATTTGAAAATTATTTTTTCCTGTACCACGTGAATGCAGACATGAGGTTGTACAGATTAAAAATTAGTTACTGAAGCGAATCACTCATTTCTGAATACTTTCTGCTCTTTGCAGCAATGGAAGTTTTTTATACTACCATTTCAACCATTGTTATAAGTCGTAAAGCTAGGCTTTGGTTGTCTTTCTCTTAGGGTCTTTAGGATGTTAGTGGTTGACAGTTGAAGGATCTCTAAGTCGAGGTCATTATCAATCGCCTTTTGATTGTTCCATTTTCCCAACTCACGCCTTTCCTTTATAGTATCATTCATTCTGTACCTCTGTTGTCATCTCTTATATGTACCTCTGTTAAAACAATGATTGTTGAATCTGACACACTTCTGTGCAATGGTCTGCTCTCATTTATGTTTTTTGTCTGCTATCTTACATTCATTCATTACTGTCAAGTCTGTGCGGAGGTCAACGTCACTAAGCATGAAAGTGAAAATGAGATCCGGATTTTCAACTCCAATGTGAAGTCAGTGCTACTCACTATACGGATCAGAGACTTGCACTGTGCGTCATAAAGAGCATCTCCAACAAACTTTAGACCTTCATTAACAGTTGTCTTCGCTCAATAGTCAAGATCAGATGGCCAGCCAGAAAAGATCAGCAATAGTGAGGGATCTCTGGTAGTGAGCAAATCAACCAGGAACGGATTATGAAACAAATAGACAGGAAGAAATGGAGATGGATTGGCTGACCATAGTCTGAGAAAACCAACCATCAAGTGACATCACTAGAGAAGCCATCGCTGGAGTGGAACCCGAAAGGGAAGCGGCGAGTTGGTCGTCAGTGCGAGGGTGACTTGAAGGAGGTCATGTGAAGAGGAGATGAAAGCATATGGGCAGACGTGGAGCCAGGTGAAAACTCTAGCTGAGAACCGAACGCAATGGAGACTTGGGCGGCTGAAGCCCTATGTTCCTCGAGGAATTAAAGGAAATAATAATAATAATCTTATATTACTTTTTACTATATCGATGAGTAGTGAGTGCATAGTTGAATGAATTACAAGTGAATTTGAAGTTCAAGCGTACACATATTCATAAGTTGTTTATTTTGGCTGCCTTCTGAGTATAGTTATAATAAAAGTCATCAGATCAACTGTTCACTCATTTTCTGTATCTATTTGCTCTAGTTTATTTAGACAAAATAACACAAAGATGTAATTTATCTGAATCGTTTGATGTATTTGAGGAACACATTTCGAATAATTGATTACTGAACAAAGAATATTCTTTTCGATAACTTCATCATAGCGTTCTACAGTTATACATGCATAATAATGAAAGAATGGACACAATGAAAGAATACATTTCGATCAATCTGTCTTAGGAATTTATATGGACAATATTAAAGCTTTAGGCGTGAGAGAGTAAACACAGGTCAAGTCAGAAGGCTATATTGAAGGTAATAGTACATTAATCTTGGCACGTCGTAACAAATTGTTTTTGAACACACACACACACACAGATGGTTTCCCATCTTTAGGTCTTCCATAAACTTTATTTTTATATTTTGGGCTAAAAACGTATATTACCTGTATAGAGCTTCCTAATGGTACTATAGATTTTTTTTGTTGTTGATATTAGTCTTCTTTAACAGAGGTACATATGGGTTACTATCACACTCGGTCGTCTATTTGCTTTCTTTGGAGAGTTTTTTTGTCTGTAAATTTCTTAAGGGAGTTTCGAACAGCTATACAGTAGGACGCAATAGCCAGTTGTCTGGACTTAGACCACAACGAGTCATTTTTGTTCCTTACACCCAGTATTCTGTAGTATATTTCGCAATGGAAGATCTCGGCTGTATTTTGTTTAACCATTAATAGATTCTGTGGATTTAATCTGGTGTTGAAGCTCTTACTTGGAGAAATCTCTGATATCTTCTAATGAATGTATGTATGAATGTATGAATGTATGTAAATACCTCGGATTAGTTATATCTTCCGACCTTACTTGGTCATCTCATATCCAAATGATTTCCAAGAAAGTGTTTCGTCTAACCTACTACATTAAGAAACTCAGACTAACTGGAGTCCCTCAACCTCTGCTTTCACAATTTGTCAACTCTCGTATCCTACCTATTCTACTTTACTGTTCCCCGTTAGTCTTTCCTGGGTTACTGAAAAAGGATTATACCATCCTGAGAAGGATGTTGAAGGTAGTTA